AATTTAAATTTGAAAATTTTACCTATTAATCTATTATTATTAAAGACAAAGTTTAATTAATATAGACAACACTTTGTTCTTTAATTGGACTGATCCGGTGCAAATGATAATTACTTTAAGTAGTATTGTTCGGGCCCTGACTTCTAAGGATTATTTTATTGAGAATATCTTGACCTAAGGGGGTTTAGAATGGAGGTGTTGATGAGCTGAGGAGACCAATCAGGGTGGCCCAAGTAGAGTGGTGTTGGTTACGCCGGTAGAACAAGCTAGGGGGCACTATACTCGTGAGGCGGGGCCGCCTGACGCTTAGCCCGCCAGTCTCCCTTGGCTGTCGCATGGTCGGCACAAGTGATGCACGTGGCAGCGCAATTTTGCACCCCACTGTTTGTTTGTTTGTTTTTGCTTTGTTTTGTTTTTTATTAAGAAAAAACATCACTTAAGCGAAAACTAAGAAATTAACTTAACAATTTTACTAACTTAGAAATTGATTATACACTACAAGTAAAACTTAAATATTGAAAACATCATTTTTTTTTTCAAATAATAATAAATATTGTCATTTTACGGGGAGTAATAATTTTATTTTTTTTAGTGATGAGGAAACTTACCTTCACTATTGAGGGTGTACACTAAATAAACTCACATTGTGATTTTAATTGGTAAAGGATCACAAGGAGCTAAACCTGTAAATCAGTTTAGGTTACTCATAATTGACCAGCTCAAATAAAAAATAATAATAATTAAACCTCTCTCAATGAGAATTGAACTTATAATATTGTTGTTACCAAGTCAATGTAAGGAGGAAGATTTTTAAATTTTGTAGACAAAGTAAAAACTTGAAACATATAAAGTGGGGTAGAACCATAGAATCAAGGCGACGTGTGAGTAGAGTACAAGCTATGTTTCCAAAGGACACGTGGGGGGTGATTGAAAACTAGAATCTAACAGCTAGCAATTCAAGATATATACAACAAGAGTTTGGTCAGCTATAAATAGAAACAAGTAGTTGCATTGAATGATAGATTGTCGCATTTTTCTACGATCTATACGCCCAAATAAAGTGGCCTCAACGCCTAGCTAAGCTACCGCCCACGCAATAACGCATGCTTGTACTATGCCATGTGGTTCAACCTCTCAAATTTAATGCCTTCCCCAACTCCCCCGCCATTATGTTGCCATTTGCCAACTACTTCCTCACATCTGAATTCAATGAACTACTCCATTCCGAGTTTGATTTTGATGATTCTCAATTTTAAAATGTTTCGATGATTTTATATTGATTGACTAAGGTTTTGAGGTATGAATTTATTGGACCCCATCAATATTGCTTTTGAATTTGATGGCAACGACGGTATTACACTCTATGACTCAATGCTTCCGGGTTAGATCTGGTATATTTATCCAATATAATTATCTCGTCACCAAAAAATTTTATAGTAAAAAATTATATTGGTTCCGATGATGGTGTTGGATTTCTATGGGCTTAGGGCAAGTGCATTATTGGGTTGAAATAACGGATTGATGGGTTGATATAGAGAAATTAGGCCAATAAAACTATGTGGGTTGGCTTAGAATGCACATGAGTAGGTCGAGAACGAGAGGAGCTCGATAAGGCGTAGTAATCTTAGCCTGGATAGTGTTGAGTTCTAAATTGTAGGATCTCATTTGAAGTAAGAGCACAACTATTACATGCATATATTTACAAAGAATGAGCTCCTATATATACAAACTAAAAGGAAAAGAAAAGGAAAAAACAATAAATGAGAATTATACTAATGCCAAAAATACATAGCTAAGATAAATGTAAAATATATGCAAATATATGCGAGAATATATGTTAACACCCCCCCCCCCCCCCCCCCCCCCCCTTCTCAAACTGAAGGTGATGAGAGCGGAAGCGATAATTTAATTCACTAACAGTATTCAGGTACAATAATACAATCAGAAGAGAGCCTAACTAATAGACTTAAGACTAGATCAAACATACTAAGCTACATAAAGTACATATCATAAATCATAATAATAACTATACTAATACTCCCCCTCATGCGCAAGGTTGGTGTGACACGACATTGAGCTTGTCACGAAGATTCCTGAAGCGCACTGCTGGCAGCGGTTTGGTGAAGATATCCGCAAGCTAGTCTTTGGTAGACACAAAGTGGACCTGAAACTCACCGGCTGACACCTTATCCCGGACGAAATGATAATCAACCTCGACGTGTTTGGTGCGTGCATGAAAGGCTGGATTCGCACAAAGCTAAGTGGCGCCCAGATTGTCAGACCACAGCGTGGGCGCAGTAGAAGGACTCAGGTCAAGATCCTGAAACAAAGACACGACCCAGGTGACCTCAGCACACACATCGGCAAGCCCATTATATTCCGCTTTCGTCGAAGATCGAGCCACAGTTCGTTGTTTGCGGGAGACCCAAGAGACTAGATTCGAGCCCAAAAACACAACATATCCGCTGGTGGATTTTTGATCAACGGGACAGCCAGCCCAATCGGAATCTGAATAGGCATGAATGTCAGAGGATGACGAAGAGGAGAAGCGCAGACCATAGTCGAGCGTGCCCTTGATATACTGGAGGACACGCTTAACTAGCCCCCAGTGTTCTTCAGTGGGAGTGTGCATGAACTGACAGAGTCTGTTGACGGCATAAGACAGATCCGGGCGAGTAATAGTGAGGTACTGTAGGGCACCGGCTAGGCGGCGATACTGTGTCAGATTGTCAAAAGGATCAGTGGACTGACTAACAGCTTGCGTGACGGAGGCCGGGGTAGCAAGTGGCTTACAGTCCGTCATACCTGCCCGTTGCAGAATATCACGCATATAGCGCCGTTTTGTGAGAATCATGCTGTCTGGAGTGGACAGAGTCTCAATACCGAGAAAGAATGTGGTTTGCCAAGATCCCAGATTTTGAATGCAGATGCCAGTCATTGAAGAAGAGAGTCGACCAAGGTAGTGTCATTCCCCAACATGATGATGTCATCCACGTAGACTAGTAAAAACACCTGGGAATCACCAGCGGAATAATGAAAGAGGGAGACATCCGTCTTGGAAGCAATAAAACCTGTAAGAAGTAAGAAATCATGCAGGCGCTTGAACCAAGCTCGAGGTGCCTGTTTCAGCCCATATAGGGAACGCTGCAGGTGACAAACGTGATCAGGGTGGTCAGGATACTCATATCCTGGAGGTTGTCGCATGTACACCGTCTCTGCCAAGTGTCCGTTTAGAAAAGCGTTGTGGACATCCAACTGACGAAGTGTCCAGCCACGTGATATGGAAAATGAGAGTAATATCTGGACCGTGGTCGGCTTGACCACCGGGCTAAATGTCTCGAAGAAGTCCTCACCTACTACCTGATTGAACCCCTTTCCTACCAACCGGGCCTTGTAGCACTAAATTGTGCCATCGGCTTGCGCTTGGTGCGAAAGACCCATTTGCACCCCACAACGTTCATGTTGGGAGTAGCGGGAACTAGACACCAGGTGTTGTTATGTAACAACGCATTGAAATACTGGTCCATAGCGTCACGCCACTGTGGGTGCCCGACTGCTTGGGAATAGCAAGTGGGGTCTACGGTAGATGGGGACACAGTCAGTGCATGAAACTGCTCACCAGTGCCCTGTGTCATGTGTCAGAGCCGCATAACATGAGCCCGCTGTTGAGGCTCGGCCCTCGTCTCTTAGGTGGACGAGTTGGGGCACCCGGGTTTGCAGGTGATAGTAGTGCCGGTATGTCACGGCCACCACTTTGAAATATGGGTGCGGAGCCCTAAGGTGAACTAGGGCTGCTTAGCTGGGCCGTTTTCTGCAAAGAAATAGCTGTTGCAAAAGGGAAGTTAGTTTCATCAAAGCGGACATGGCGACAGATATAAGTTTTCCCGGTGTTTAGGTTCATGCAACGATAACCCCGAAAAGATGGTGGGTAACCTAAGAAGACACACGGGGCTGACCGGTACTCTATTTTATGACGGTTATAGGGCCGTAGATAGGGAAAGCAAAGGCAACCGAACACACGTAGGTACGTGTAAGTGGGTGGAGACTGATATAGACGGGAATAGGGTGTATCAAACTGTAATGAGGAAGAAGGTAGGCGATTTATTAGATAAGTTGCGGTTTCAAACGTGTAGTCCCAATATCGTTGCGGGACAGACGCTTGGGCCATTAGAGCTAGGCCGGTCTCGACGATATGCCGCTGCTGGCACTCTACGCGCCCGTTTTGTTCGTGGGTATAGGCACCGGATTGTCTATGAACATCCCTAACGAGGTGAAGAGTTTATGTAAACGAAAGTATTCCCCCCCCCCCCCCCCCCCCCACCTAATCAGACTGGATGGACTTGATAGAACGTGAAAACATACGTTCTACCATAGCCCGGAAATTATCAAACACTTTATAAATGTCGGTTTTGAGTCGTAGAGGATAATACCAACAAAAGCGGGTGTTATCGTCTACGAAGAGTACAAAATAACGGCAACCCTCCGTAGAAAGAACTGGTGCGGGGCCCCAAATATCCGTGTAAACAAGGTCTAATACATTATTGCTCGATTTTGCTACTCTATCTAAAGGAAATCGGGACGATTTCCCAAGTTGACATGAGGAACACAAACTGGAAACTACATTTTTATTGGACTCAACCGGGCATTCCCGTAAGACACGTTGGAGAGCTTGACCATGTGGATGACCCAGACGCTGATGCCAGACCACGGAAGAAGCATGAGCTGTGACAAAGCATAATGAGACCTTGGAACCAACAACGTGTACAAGCCCCCCGAGCTAGGTTCTTTAAGAAGTACCGCCTGAGTTTTGCAGTCCTTCACAACAAGGAACGTAGAGTGAAATTCAAAGAAACAGTTATTATCATTAGTGAAGCGGTTAACAGATAACAACGATACAGATAGTTCGGGGACATGTAAAATATTGGATAACTTTAGTGACTTCGAAACAAACAGAATTAATGCATGACCAACACTTGAGATCGCCAAACCTGCGCCATTACCCACTCGGAGAACATCGCCACCGTGGTAGTCCTCGGAATTCACGATCACGTTGGAATCTGGAGTGGCGTGCGTTGAAGCACCGGTATCCGGTAACCACGCCGTGACCTCCGAAGCTGCACCGCCTTCACCTGCAACGGCGACGTGCGTCTGGGACAGTGGGGGCTCGGAATACCGCTGGTAATAGTAGGCGGCCGTATGCCCTTGCGATCTGCAGATTTGGCATCGTGGTGCACCTCCTCGGCCATGACCACCGCGTCCACCACGCTGATTTCCACAACGTGAGTGCCTGCCACCATCACCTTGTTGTCGTCTGCCTCGTCCGGCATATAAAGCCGAGGGTGAGCCACCCGTCATCGCCGGCGACCCAGCCGGAAAATCATCCGAATTGATGAACTACTGAGCCTGCAAATAGTTCGCCAGCTGTGGAATCGACACCGGCGTGCCGGTGACCGCCAGGGAAGTTGCCATCGCCCGGAACTCCGGCCGCAGCCCCCCGGAAAACAAACAGATTCTGCTCCGTTAGTGTCATGTTACGCCCGGCAAGTGCGAGGTCTTCAACTAATAGCTGCGCTCGGCCCAAGTACTCCGATGGTGTGCTATCTCCCTGCCTTAAGGACTAGAATTGCCCCAGAAGGTTGAGACACCCTACCTGCGTTGATGATCCGAGTGCAGTCTCCGCCGCCTTCCACACGCTGCGAGAGGTGGTCTGACCAACGGCCAAGTACATGACCTCCTCAGATATGGAGGAGATGAGCAGCGAGAGGATGGAGGCGTCTTGTTGCACTCATGCGCCATACGCTGGATTCATCGCGGTGGAGAAGGCGTCGTCGGAGTTTTCGCCGGCGGGGATCTCCAAGACCGGCAACGGGCGAGGGTGTTCGCCATCCACGTACCCGAGAAGGCCCTGGCCGCGAAGGAACGGGATGATCTGTGTTCGCCAAAAAAGGTAGTTTCGGTTGGTAAGCTTGAGTGACAAAAAGTTGTGTGCACTGTTGAGGGATTTTGGGTTGGTGTTTGGAGAAGAGATGGTGGTGGCGGTGAGGGTACGCTCAGAGGAGCTTTGCGACATTGTTGAAAGAGAGGAGAATGTCGGTTGGGGAGGAGAGAGGATTCCTACGGCTAACTGATACCAAATGAGAGTGGAAGCGATAATTCAATTCACTAACAGTATTCAAGTACAATAATACAATCAGAAGAGAGTCCTAATTAATAGGCTTAAGACTAGATCAAACATACTAAACTACATAATGTACATAACATAAATCATAATAATAACTATACTAATAAAGGTGGGATAGTAGAAGCCAACATCCCACCTTGAGTTTGTGAAGTAAAAAACTGAAATCTTCCGGGGAGATGAGCTTTAGTAAAAATATCTGTTGATTGATCTTCAGAAGAAACATGAGTAAGCTGAACAGTGTCATGTTTAATATGTTTGCAAACAAAATGACAATCCGTCTCGATATGTTTGGTTCGTTCATGAAACACATCATTATGAGCAATTTGAATTGCACTCTGATTATCACAATGAAGAATAGTAGGAGAGGATTGTTTAATACCCATATCTTTAAGTAGCCATCTAAGCCAAATTAATTCAGAAGTAGTATTGGCAAGAGCCCGATACTCGGATTCAGTGCTAGACCGAGAAGTGAATGTTTATTTTTTTTTACTTCGCCATGAAATGAGTGAGTCGCCCAATTAAAAAGAAACAATAACCAGTTGTTGAACGACGATCAGTAGGGTCTCCAGCCCAATCAGCATCAGAGTAGGCAGACAAGGTTAATGAGGAGTGCGCAAAGAAATGAAGACCATGCATAAGAGTACCTTTGACATATTGTAAGATGCGGAGCACATCAGTAAAGTGAATCGTACGAGGAGCTTCCATAAATTGACTTACTACGTGAACATCATAAGAAATATCCGGGCGAGTTACTGTAAGATAAACAAGACTACTAATCAGTTGCCTGTATAATGTGGGATCAGCAAGGAGTGTACCATCAAAAGGTGTTAATTTAACATTTGTGTCCAATAGAGTAGATGCAGTACTAGAATCTGTTATACTAGCCCTTGAGAGTAAATCAACATCATATTTAGCTTGAGATAAATAGTAGCCATCAGAAGTGGAAGAAACTTCAAAACCTAGAAAATAGCTAAGAGGTCCCAAATCCTTCATTTCAAAGTGTTGACTAAGATAACTTTCAACATCAAAAATAGCCATGGAATAATCACCTGTAATAATCACATCATCTACATAGAGTAAGAAGAAAACAACACCCTTGTTAGTATGGCGAACAAACAAAGCAGAATCATGAGGACTAGAAGTGAAACCAAATCGTGCAATCGTAGAGCTGAATTTTGCAAACCATGCATGAGGCGCTTGTTTAAGTCCATATAACGCACGTCGAAGTAGACAAACTTGTTGAGAATTATGAGAGTATCCAAGTGGGAATGCATATAAATTTTTTTCATCAAGTTCGCCATTGAGAAAGGCGTTCTTAACATTCATCTGGAGAAGAGGCTAATGTTTAACTGCAGCAACCCCCAAAAGACTCCGAATAGAGGTCAAACGAGCAACCAGAGCAAATGTTTCCTCATAATTAATGCCATACTCTTGAGTATAGCCTTTAGCGACCAACCGAGCTTTATACCACTCAACAGAGCCAATCGAGTTTTGATCTTGTAGATCCATTTACATCTAATAGGAGTTTTACCTGAAGGGAGCTCTACGAGGTCCCAAGTATGAGTTTTCTCCAATGCTTGAAGTTCTTCCAACATTGCTTTCTGCCAAAGAGGGTTAGTACTAGCTTCACGATAAGAACTAGATTCTTGTAAAGAGAGAATAGTAGAAAACAATGATAATCTTTAAGGTGTAAAGGAACTTCTCTTACTCGAGTTGAGTGGCGTAGAGGAGGAACAAGATCATTAGAAGAAGCCAAATCCGTAGATTTTTCCGTTGTGCACTTCTAACCGAAATTTATTTTCAAAAATTCTCAAACAAAGCAACTTAAGAATTCCATTCATCTTATTGTATTATCCTATAAGATTAAATTTTGAACCTAGCTTGTTACTTTATATGAGGGAGATTTAAAGTTTATAGGAAAGTGATTACATGCCTGAAGATATCAAATGATTGATCCAGTTTTTGTTCCCTTATTTTTCTGTATATTTTGTTGTATCTCAAATGTATTACAGAATATACAAGAATTTTGTCCAACAGTATCTAATAGCGCCCTATCCAATTATCATTATTGTTAAATTTTCTAAGAATTTTATCAATATAACTAGATTAGTTTAACATAAGTCAATCCGATCTTCTAATGATTTTAATATATAATCCCAAGGATTAAATCTACCAAACTCATTTCCTTGATGTCAAATTTTGAATTTAACATGATTTTGGTAGATTTGATTATATGATCGTTGTTACTAACGATGGGTATATCATCCACGTATAAACATAGAATGACATAATCATCCACCTTATCCATCATGTAGCCACACTTTTCACTCTCATTTATCTTAAACCAATTAGTTATCATTGCATGGTCAAAATTTTTGTATCATACCATTTCTTAGACGCTTGTTTTAAACCGTACAATGATTTTACCAATTTACAAAATTTCTTCTTTTTTTTTTAATCTAAAATTGTAAAACAATCAAGGTGTTCCATATATATTTCTTCATCTAACTCGTCATTCAAAAAAAGCTATTCTAACAATAAATAATTCTTGCTGGAGTAGCTCAGTTGGTTAGAGCGTGTGGCTGTTAACCACAAGGTCAAAGGTTCAAGCCCTTTCTCTAGCGAATCAAATTTGTTTGAAATAATTTAAATAATGTCAACTTATGAATTTTTTTGTTACTTACTTAAAAAAAAATATTAATATCAAAATATTTTTATTTTACACTAAGGTGCGAATGCTTCGCCCAGGAGCGAAATAGGAATGGATTCTGTCCGTCCACGTGTCCAGATCTAATGGATGAGAAACACTGATTTAAAAAAAAAAAAAAATGCGGTGGCATTTTCGTAAATAATTGAACATCGAAGTGCAAGTAAAATGTTTATTACAAGTGCATGTAAAATGTACTATAGGTGCAAGTAAAATTTTACATCGAGTATCAATACTAAGTGCACCTACAGTTATAAGTAGTTGCATCTATAGTTCTAAGTAGTTGCACACATAGTTATAAGTAGTTGCACCTAGGTGCATGAATGTTTGCGGGTGGTTTTCAGGGGTATTACTACCGCTGAACTCAGAACAATGAATGTTAACAAGGCAAAATTATATGCACTTATAGGTGAAAGTAGGTGCACCTATAGTTATAAATAGTTGCACCTATAGTTATAAGCACACCCAAGTGCATGAATGTTTGCGGGAAGTGAATGCTAACAAGACAAAATTACATGCACTTATAGGTGAAAGTAGGTGCACTTGTAAGTTATTTTAATTCCACTTCGATGTTCAATTATTTACGAAAATGCCACCGCGTTTTTTTTAAGTTATTAGATCTGGACACGTGTCGTGCGCTTATTTATTCGCATATTCCTTCCTGGGCACTTATTCGCACCTGAGTGCATCCCTATATATATATATATATATATATATATATATATATATATATATATATATGTATGTATGTATGTATGTATGTATGTATGTATGTATAGTTAAACCAATTACATGCCAATTAAACCGTTCAAAGTTGATTTGATATGTCGTTTAATCAATTGGCTAAGGATGATTAACTTGAGGCAAATTATTGTTTAGATCGTGGTCCACACAGCCCATAGTCTAAAACGATATTATTTTGATGTTTTAAAAAAAATATTACTTTGTGCGCGCGTTAGAATAATAAACATTTTGGGGTAAGATAATATATTTTATGAGTTAGAATAATGTACTTTATATGTGTTAGAATAATGTAATTTCTGGGGTAAGATCAATTATTTTATGAGTTAGAATAATGTACTTTATGTTATAATAATGTATTTTATGAGTTAGAATAATGTATTTTATAAGTTAGAATAATGTACTTTTTGTGTTTTTGGACTGTGGTCCACATAGTTGTGTGGACCACGGTCCATGCAATAATGGCAATTTTTACTGTAACAGCATGGACCATAAAGCAAAACGATGTCATATCATTTAATTACAATTCAGTTTCATTTGACAATATTGTTATGTGTTTTAGTTTCATTTGACAATATTGCTATGTTTTTTAGTTTCATTTTCAGCCTACACTAGTTTCATTATAGGAACACTAAAGTATCATTTTAATTTTATTATTATAATTTCATTTGACAATATACGTTATTGCATGAGATCTATTTTTGTATGTAGTTTCATTTTTCACGCACACTAGTTTAATTATAGTAACGTTGAAGTATAATTTTAATTATACTTCATGTTCATTTGACAATATATGTTATTCTATGAGTTTTTTTTTTTAGTTTCATTTTTCACACACTAATTTCATTATAACAACACTAAAGTATCATTTTAATTCTACTACAGTTTCATCTGGCATTATACAGTATTGCATGAGCTTTGTTTTTTAGTTTCACTTTCTACGCACAATAATATCATTTTAATAGCACAAAACCCATTTCAATTCTACTACAATTTCATTTGACAATCGTATTTGACCATGGTCCACACTATAACAATTGATTACTCTATTAAAAATGAACTTCCCAACGTATCTTTGACGGCATTATTCAATCCTAAGCAAATAAGCGTGCTTATTGCTTCCTGATTTGAACCAATACCTGGTCTACTTTAATGGATCTAATTGTTTGATGGTGGATTGAGAGTTTGAGACTATTGGGGTAACCTATTATCCAATATCCCATATTCCCATTTATTGGAATCTTATTATACATAACAAAAAGAGTTAATACTCAATTTGGTCTTTCGCCTATTAGGATTTCATTAATTTGGTCCTCGATTATTAAAGTTGTTCAATTTAGTCCCTAACTATGCAACTTTTACCTAATATAGTCTCTCAATTATTAGGATTTCACCACTTTGATATATCTCCGGCTATCAAAGTTTCTCAATTTAGTCCCAAACTATGTAATTTTTACTTAAAATGGTTCATCGACTATTAGAATTTAACCACTTTGGTCTTCAACTACCAAAGTTGTTCAATTTGTAAGTCTTCAACTATGCAAATGTTAACCTAAAATGTAAGTTTAGTGTGGATTTGGGGACCTTTTGGGAGAGTCGAGGAGCAAAGAGGTAAAATTTTAATAGTCGAGGACTAAAGTGGTAAAATTCTAATAGTCGAGGGGCCATTCTAGGTAAAAATTACATAATTAGGAATTAAATTGAGCAACTTTAGTAGTCGATAACCAAAGTGGTGAAATCTTAATAGTCGAGAGACCAAATTTGCTATTAACTCTAACAAGAATAAAACTTACGTAAATGGTTCCATGGTCTAGTGGTCAGGACATTGGACTCTGAATCCAGTAACCCGAGTTCAAATCTCGGTGGAACCTTTAATGTACATATACCATGGATGGACTACGATTCCTATTGCACTGCAAGTGTTGATACAGTTAACCTACAAAATATCAGAGTTTCTTCTTCGTTCGTTTTTATCACATTTAGTCATTTTGATCAATTTTCTTTCTAATCTTATCTGGATTTTTATCAGTTTTAGCCAGAAGACCACTTAGCTTGCATTTGTGGCACTACATGCTTCTCAAATTCCATTAACTCATATGAGTGTCATACGAGAGTTTAGTTAAGGTTACGCTGGTCAAAAAGTTAATTAAAATGATCAAATGTTAAAAGAATTTGATAGTCATACACTAATTAAATATATATATATATATATATATATATTGATAGGTCGTGGTCGAATGTAAGAATTGTACAATACTCAAATGATTTAAAGTGAAAAAAAATCTCTTAAAAAAAAAACAATTGAGACATACATATCTTAAAATAATTCCTAATTAGATAAGCAATAAGAGCTCTGACGACATACACAAATACACACATGTAGGGTTATTCAAAGTAATATACTTTTTGTTTCATTTTATTTGTCATATTTATTATTTATTCGTCAATCTTTTTTTTTTTGAATGTCACTAGCTCTATTACATTGTAATATCTGTTCATATACTTTCTCAACTTACTGAAACACAAAGAGCTAATAACACCTCCACTGAGGCTTGAACTCATAACCTTCCTAATGGAAGTCCAACCCGGATACCATTGGACCACATAGTCCTGGTTATTTATTCGTCAATCTAAATTAACCTTTTTTAATATTTTTTTTATAATTTTTAATTTTAATTTTTTGTATTTAATAATATTTTTATGTAATTTCTAAATATATAAATTTTATATACCAATACTAAATTAAATATTACCAAAATTAAAATTATAAATAATTTTAATCAAATTTTGTTAATCGAATCAGATATATGAAATGGGACGGAAGAAGTATAAAACTCATAAAATGACCCCTAATATTTCCTTAATTACTAAAGAAAGGAAAACAGTATATCAATTCCAAGAATAAAACTCCACGCCACACAAGTCTTAACTATATTAGAAGAGAAGAAACAAAAAATTGATTCAGTTTTTATCATAATCCACCGTAACATATCACATTCGAGAATAAAGAATAAGTAAAAAGTAAAACTACATATAGACAATTTTGACAATTGGCGATTAGCAGATAACGAATATATTACGTTAGCCGCAGGTTTGACTAGCAGATTGTATCAGTGATTTGTAAAAAGACATTTGGTAAAATTAGCCGTTATATATTAGCGATTAACATGCAAAATGATCAATAAAGATATATACATATTTCATAATATAACAACAACAATAATAATATTAATAATTATTATTATAAACAAAATTATAAAAAATAAACAAATAAGGGACGACTCTGTTGGTGATAATGAACCAAAATCGATTTAATATCCGTAAAATAATATTTATATATATACACAAAATATATATAAAATATTATTAGATATATATCCGAAATATATATATACAAACAAATATATATATATATATATATATATATATATATATATATATATATATATATATATATATATATATATATATATATATATATATATATAACGGATCCAAAGGTTATATATACATGTATATCTACGAAAAAGATATACCAATATATATCAACCAAAAAGGAACATATAAACCTTGGATATAATTCCAAGTCAACAAGAAAGAACGGATTTTTGCTTACAGCATAATCCCAAAACAAGAAAGAAGGAGAAGGAAGAAAGATTCGTACGATTTAGGCAAAGTGCCTGTCTTTCCTTAAAACCTTATTTGCCACCTCCCAAAAGTGCTAGGAGCGTTGTGGCCTAGGTTTCCCAGGATAAAACGTACAACGGTTCGACGTTTGAGCACCCAAACGAACGAACCCGGCGAACTAGAGCACGGGCAAAACACAGTAGCAAGAAAGAAGTAGGAGCAGAATTTTTGAGAAGAAAAAAGTGTTTATCTTTGTGTGTTGTGTACTCTCGTGTTCTTCCCTCACTTGTTGTCTCTCACTATGCAGTTAAAAAACCTTTACTCCCACTACACTCTTATATAGGAGGTTGGTACTTTAGCATCATCATGACACATTAACCAACATAAATTCAATTTAAAAATTGAATTATAACGTTTGAAACGGTCGTACATATTATCGAAATAATATCAACGGTCACGAACTTAATATCCGATTAATTCGTACCGACCATAACGACCAGTTTCAAAAATATCTGAGTGACCGAGAAGTCCGTACAAATCCAAAAGTTTAACAAATTGGGACCGGAAACCACACCCGAGTAGTCTGCAAGCACCGAAACGGTGCAGCACGAATCAATGCAAATAGCATTGACTCGTGCTAGAAGCACCAAAGTGGTGCTACACGAAAGGACTCACACGAAAGGAGTCCAAAAACCAAAGCATGAATTTGTGCTCAAAAGCACGAAACTTCACTTTGAATCCAAATTATTATTTTAAGCTATCTCAAAGCTTAATCATGTTTTAAGCTTATGCCTTTGTGATACACATCACAGCTAATTCTTTAATTAGCTATCAAGCTTAAAACCTTGCACATTTCAGGTACAAACGAATCACAACAATTGCTAATTTAATTAGCAACTATCTTAAGATTTTGACTTCTCTCAAATAGGTTCACTTTGAGAATCAATTTCTCATTCACCTATTACCCATTTTGAGCGTACATTATATCAAATTCTTCGTCTCACTACGAAGAACGCGAATCCACCTTGACCCGACCCAAATCAGAAGTGGATCCCACATATATTTGTACCATAGAATAATCACTCAAAATATCATTTTAATGCTATTTTTCTAACAATCCCCCACATGAATGAAAATTGATTTTCAGGGTATTTTGAAATCGGAAACAACTGTGTTCAACGGTCGATCATTGCATAGGATAGGTAGGGATCACTATACCCTTTGAACCTTCCCTTGTGAGGACATGTTTACTCTACTGGCTATACGGTAGAACGCGATGTCTTTGAACTGACTGCCGTTTGTGTAGACGATGACATGTCTCACACAGGAACCTTATAACCATGCTCTGTTCTCATGAGTGTGCCCATTTTGGTTGTGGGTCACCGTTCTGGTTCTGCAAGAGTTTGTGAAGAATTGTGCCCATCAATTCTCCTTTGAAGCGACCCTCACTTCTCTCTCACATAGGTGATTCTTTTCCGAGTATCCCACATACTCACACATGTCAACCGACATTCAAATCATTAAAGCATCAACATGCTAACCTTGCACGAGAGTCACTGTTTCTAACGAGGAGTGGTAGGGAGTCCGAGACCCCCACAGTGACACGCTCCGTTCCATAATTTAGTTGTCCCATTGGACCTAGGTGCCAGCTAGGTTGGGTATCCACTATAGAACTTTTAGTCCAAGGGCTTTAGACCCATTCCTCGTTCCAACTTCTCCACAACCATTTGCTTACCCTCGAGTTAGCGAGTTAGCGGCTGCTACGTTATCTTTTGACATCACGTAGTCAATAGAGATAACCCCCGTTGTGAGAAATTGTTTAATGGTATTATATCTACGACTTATAAGTCTAGACTTACCATTCCACATTTAACTCTGTACTTAACCAATTTTGACTTGACTATCGCAATGCACACAAATTGGAGGTACGAGTTCAC